GAGGAGGAGGAAGAGGAGGAGGAGGAGGAGGAGGAGGAGGAAGAAGATGAGGAGGAGGAGGCGGAGGAGGAGCAGGAGGAGGAGGAGGAGGAGGACGTTTATGCAGCCTCCGATGGGCCGCGCCGACTGCTGGCGATGGACACGAAGCGCTGCTGGCGCTGGGCGCGACCGAGCCACGCAAACACGGCGCAGCGCCAGCGCCACTCGGAGGACACGGCCCCGCATTGGGCGGGAGGGACAGGGGTTTCCGACGGGGCGAGCCCGCGAGCCCGGTACTTGCTATCTCGCCCCGGAGTCCAGGCGGGCCACGCGGCACGACACGGCACCGCACGGAACCTCGCACCAGAGGCCCAACGCGAAGCGGCGACGCGGCACCAGACGGTTCCGCCGCCGGGCGGCACGTCGGCACGAGGGTGGGGACCGCCGAGCAGCCGCGATGCCCCGAAGCCACAAATCGGAACCCGTGAGCCTTCTGGGTCCTCCTGCCTACAAGTCCTACGTGTTTACGGGTCAGACGGAGGCAGATGAGGAGGAGGAGGAGGAGGAGGAGGAGGAGGAGGAGGAGGAGGACGAGGAGGAGGAGGAGGAGGGGAGGGGATGAGGGAGGAGAGGAGGAGAAATTAGGAGGAGAAAAGGAGAAGGCGGAGGCGGAGGAGGAGGAGGGTCATGGTCTCTGGGCCCAAGGTCCTCCCTGGGCCTCCTGCGGGGCCCTCGCCAGCCGCGGCCAGGCACTCTAACCGCCGCACGAAAGCGCGGTGGCGGATGGCGGCTGCTGGCGGAAGCCTCTTGCGGCGGCTGCTGGCACTGGCGCTGGCCGCGGCGCGGGCGCCTGCGGACCGCGCCTTCGTGATGGGCCTGTTTTCCACCGCCACCACCATAAGTTGGAGGACTGGAGGAGGAGGAGGAGGAGGAGGAGGAGGAGGAGAATAAGGAGGAGGAGGAGGAAGAGGAGGAGGAGGAGGACGACGACGACAAGGAGGAGGCGGAGGAGGAGGAGGAGGAGGAGGAGGACGAGCAGGCGGAGGAGGAGGAGTAAGAGGAGGAGGAGGAGGAAAGGGGCAAGGAGGAGGAGGAGCAGGAGGAGGAGGAGGAGGAGCAGGAGGAGGAGGAGCACGAGGTGGAGGACGAGGAAGAGAAGGATGATGATGATGCTGAGGATGATGATGATGATGATGATGATGATGATGATGATGATGATGATGATGATGATGATGATGATGATGATTGTGATGGTGATGGTGATGGTGATGGTGATGATGGTGATGGTGATGATGATGATGATGATGCTGATGATGATGACCATGGTGATGGTGATGGTGTTGATGATGATGATGAGGATAATGGTGATGATGATGATGACGATGATGAAGATGATGATGATGATGATGATGATGATGATGATGATGATGATGATGATGATGATGATGATGATAATGCGGATAATGATGATGATGATGATGATGATGATGATGATGATGATGATGATGATGATGATGCTGATGGTGGTGATGATGATGAGATGAAAATGAATGGATGGATTAGATGTGATGTGATGATGATGATGTAGTGGTGGTGGTGTGTGTCGTGGTGTTGGTGGTGGTGGTGGTGGTGATGATCAAGGGAAGGAGGAGGAGGAGGAGAGGAGGAGGCGAGAAGGGGAGTAGAGGAGGAGGAGGAGGAGGAGGAGGAGGAGGAGGAGGAGGAGGAGGCGGACGAGGTGGAGGAGGACCCCCCTCTCCAATTTATGGTGTTGGTGGTTGAAATCAGGCCCATCACTTCGCGCCGTCCTCGCTGTCGATGCTGTGGTCGACGCCGGTGCTCAGCGCCCCCGCCCAGGGCGTGGACGTCGAGGCCACCTGCTTGGACTGTGCCAGGGGTCAGAGGAGGAGGATGAGCAGGAGGAGGAGGAGGAGGAGGAGGAGGAGGAGGTAACCTATACTGCTGCCCTTTCCTCGTTTTTGTCTTTCTGGGCCTCCTGGCAGGCCCTCGTCGCCGCCGCGGGATTTGCCTCGAGATTCTGGTCAGAGCGCACCCCGGGAGGGGTCCGGGAGTAGCGGTATTGGTACATGTGGGTTTCCTTGCGAAGCGGGGGTCGCCAGAAGCTTCAGTAGCAATTCGTGGGAGCCTTGTGTACCCTCGCAAGTCCGTCTCTGGGACGCGGTGGCGTCGGTTAGCGTTTGGTCATCGATGAGGAAGTGCCGTCGATTAGCGTCGGTTATTGTCGACGTAACGTCGATTTGTGACGAATTAGGGCCGATTGGCGTCTTCCAGCGTCGGTTCGCAAGAGCCAGCAAGATGGCACAGGAGGCTCCCATGAGTTGCAACCGACACAAGTCACCATCTCCTCGTGGAAATCGAGGATCGAGGAGGAAACGGAGGAAGAGGGGGATGAGTAGAATAATGATGAGATGATGACGATGATGATGATGATGATGATGATGATGATGCTGATGCTGATGCTGATGCTGATGATGATGATGGTGATGGTGATGGTGATGGT